AAACTAAATATATAAAAAAATTATTAATGGGGCATTAGACCAATTATGATATATGTGAATTCGTCCTTGTATGTTACATATGTGTGTAAACTTTTGATTTTAAAATTTTAACATAATCCCTTAAAAATGGCACATGTCACTTATTTTTTTTTACAAAAAATTCTAAATTAACTACATATATTTATAATATTACATATGATCTTAATTATAAGTAACATAAGATAAATTATGAAGATTAAAAAAATTATTGTTATTATTATTTTTAATTAATTTTGATATAAATTAAAATAATTTTTAAATATAATCTTTATTTTAAGTAATTTTCGCATTTAATATCAATTTTAAGTGTGTGTAAAAGAAATAGAATTAATAATAAATGAAGATATAAAAAAAATTAATCTTGAATAATTTTAATAATAAATGATTGTTGTTTATAATAATGATTTGAAGATCAATTTAATTTGTTGTTTACAATTAGGATAAAAATAGTATTAGATTTTTTTATTTTAAAATATTGATTAAGTATTTTTTATATAAGTTAAATTTTCGCTTAAACATTTTTCATTATAGATTTTTTTTTGAAAATATTTATTCAATACACGAAATAATTGGGTCACGCATATATATATATATATTATAATTTTTGTGTTAAATAGTTATAATAAATTGATATTTTCTTATGTTATGTGATATTAGTGTATCGGTTTTTTTTTTCTTTCTTATTTCTAATATTTGTCTAGGCATGGCAATGGGGCGGGGCGAGTTTTATGTTCCCCACCCCGCCCCGTAAATTTAAACCGTCTCCGCTCCTGTCTCCGATACCCGCTAGGGGTAAAATTTAGATACTCATCCACATTTATGGTAGGGTTCATGTTTCTTTGTCCCCGCTCTTGAACTTTTTTTTCCTTTCTTTCTAATAAATATGAATAAATTTTAAAAAATAAATAAAAGAAAAGTAAGATAATACAAATTTTTATATATAAATGTTTCTAATTTTGATTTATATATATATATATAAATAATTTTTTAATTATATTATTAAGCGAGACGAGGGCGGGGCGAGTACGGGAGCGGGGGCGGGACGACTACTAACATTCTCATCCCCGCCTCCAATTTTATCAATTTGAAAAAATCTGAACCTGAACCTGCTAAACACGAATTTTTTCCAAAAATCGAGGTGGGTTCGAGCGGGTACCCACGGACGGGTTATTTTTGTTTTTCTTTCAACAAAGTAATAGAATATATATATATATATATATATGTAAAAAGATATAAATAATACCTAAATATTTTACAAGAATTACTCTATATTTATAGTTACCTATAGCATAAATGTATCAATTGTTACAATATATTTAATATTTTCTTCATCTAGATATCGAGTAACCCCAATCCCCAATTGTTATGTCAATAACAAGTAACACATATACATTACTTTATATAGTTCTAGGCATTCCAAGAAGATATACAACAAGCAAATGCATTATATATAGAATAATCACATCACATCACCTCTATGCTCTATCTCATGTAGTGATAACATGTTAGACCATTATTTATGCTTCTGTTGACTATACAATCAAAGGGGCGAGAAATTCCCAGTGCAAATGTATAACTAAAAGTGGGTTCATAAGCATTCATCCGAGACCAACAATGGGAAAAAAAAAAAAAAAAAAGGTGTATACCAAAGGTATTTGACCAAAGGGTAAGGTCAAGGACTCCTCATTTCGTAATAAGGATCAAAGTAATGCATAAAGAATACCAAAACAACTTCATTAAAGGTATGATGATGAGTGATGGACCTAACGTACGAATCAAATCCATTAAAGATAATATAAATAGTAACATATAAGAGGAAAAAAAAAAGTTCTCTAACATTTATTACAATATTAATTATGTTTGACTTGTTTAATTCTGAAAATTAACTTGAACATTAAAATATTTTTTTAAGTATGCTTTCTTTTCCTTTTCGAACATGTATGATCAACTATTAAGAAAATGTCAAATACGAAAATTATAAAGATGATGATTTATTGGACAAGGATTGAAATGACAAAATTATTTATGTGTCCTTGTGTAGGTATAACGTGCAATATAGATTTTTTGTCAAATAATTTATTGTGAAATATAATTTGATTTCTAGTATTCTAAATAATTCAAAGAGTAGCACGTCAAAGATCCACAGAAAAAGAAAGGAAGGCATTTATGAGAAGAAAATCACTAAACATCATTTTTAAAAAAAATCCTAAATTTTGGATTATTTACGCGTAGAATTAATTTTAAGTTGCTTATAATCAATTTTAAACTCAAATAAGAAGTGCATATAGAAAGTTAAATTTGTTAAGGTAAAAAGAAAAAAGCTAAGTTTGGTAGTAAGACAATCTTTTGTTGTGTCTACCACTTTATTCCTTTTTCTTTCGGTGAGGTATTGTGGCATTTTCATGAATTAAATTTGTTTTGATTAGCTATGAAAATGAAAGTAATTACTGTGGAGCGTGAGAGCATAAAGATTGTGAGATCTCTCTCCATTAGAATCGCTTTATTCTTTGAGTTGGCTTCGTCTTAGATTGCAACTTGGAATCTTTCCTTTGTTTGGATTCCGGGTCAATGGGGGAATTAGCTTCACCGAGGAAAATATGTCCTGCAATTTCGCCATTAATAATTCTGTTAGGAGATCGATATGTCGTAATCAATGACTTATAAATACTAAACTTTGTTGTAACATATAAACATTGTAATGTAAACACTACCAATAACACATCCTAATGCTCACAAACGTCACCAACAAGCTCAAATTTTCGCCGCAACTTACGCATTTCAATTTCACAAACGCCACTTTCTTTTTCTACTGTTTTGGAAACCCGATATCTTCAAAACTATTAAACTATGGATAGTTATATAACCATATACTCGAGGTGCGATTGTTTTAGTTAATCAATTTTAAAACAATTCATGTTAAATATTACAATTTTGAAATAAACCCTAAACATGTTAAATAAATTAATTTTGAAAGAAATAATGTTTAAAAATAGATTTTTGTCCAAAGTATGTTTTTTTTAATAGTCCGAATTCTAAAGTTCACAAACAATAACTAATGTGTATTGATAAAATATGATTTTTATTGATGAAATATTACAACCACTATTAAAACTCTCATTATCTAATTATATGCGTATTTTTTTGGGACTATCTATGAATATGATGCTACATAAGATTCATTAACATCTTATAACAAGTTACTAAAATATGCTTTCACTAAGTAACGAAAATGTAGTACGTGACACGTTGATAACATAAAAGGAAAAGGGATAAAAGCAGGGATGGCAACGGGGCGGGTTGGGTACGAGTTTCATGATACCCGTCCCCGTCCTTGCGACTCAAACTCATTCTTGTACGAGTACCCATACCTGCCGGGTATGTACTTTCTATCATCATTCCCATCCACATCGGATATAGAGTATACTCGTACCTGTACCCGTAAAAAATTATTATTTTGTTTTTCACAAAAAAAATACAAAGTATTCTTAAATTTAATTTTTTATTATATTATAATTATAACTAAATTATTTCTCTATCTCATATTTTAATAATTAAACAACTATAAATATTTTACATTATAATAAATAATTACATATAATAAAATATTAAATTTTTTTAACATATTTCAATCGGGATGGGTACGGGTACGAGGCAGGTATGTATATACCTGTACTTGTACTTGGTTTAACATATCAAGTTTTATCCGTATTCAGTTAAATCAGATATTTTTTATCAAAATTGAGACGAGTGTGTTGCTCACGGGTATATTTGTCCCTAGATAAAAGTAAGGAGATGGGAAATAATTTTAACCACATGTTATATATGCGCTGTTTTTCCACGGTCCTCCTTATGGCTCATATGACCTCAATAAAGAGGCACACAAATTATGTCCCCCCCATGTACGTAGCCATGGTGACAGTGACTCGTGAGGTCGTGGTGCTTCTACTCACATGCCCCACTTCCTCTTCAGTCTCGTCTTCTTCAACTTCAACCACCACGATTAACTAATTCATTTTTTAAAAGTAACTTCATTTCCTACCTTACCCTACAATCAAGGACAGAATCTAAGCAATTTAAAAGGCAACATTGAGAAGCCAGAAAAGTGAAAGTGAAGTGCCAAGCCAAGATAGAGTGCAGCATGATGAAGCGTCGGTTGCTTTTGGTTTTCTTGGTTCTCTATGTGACAGTCCTAGTAGAAGCTGATTCTGGGTTTGTGAAAACAAGAGGAGTGCAGCTTATGCTTAATGGGAGCCCCTACTATGCTAATGGTTTCAATGCCTATTGGCTTATGTATATTGCTTCTGATCCATCTCAGAGAAACAAGGTCTCTTCAGCGTTTCAAGAGGCTTCTAATCATGGACTTAACATAGCCAGAACTTGGGCATTCAGTGATGGAGGATATAACCCCCTACAATACTCTCCTGGATCCTACAATGAGCAAATGTTCCAGGTGATCAAATTTAATTGCTGATGAAAAAATAGTTTCATTTTGGATGATGTTACCCTTATAAGTGTTGTTTCCCATTTTTTAACTCTGTTTGTTGGATTGGAAATAAAAGGGGCTGGATTTCGCGATAGCAGAAGCAAGAAAATATGGGATCAAGTTGGTGTTGAGTTTGGTGAATAACTATGAGAACATGGGTGGGAAGAAACAATATGTGGAATGGGCAAGGAGTCAGGGGCAGTCCATAAATTCTGAAGATGACTTTTTCACAAATCCTGTGGTGAAGGGATACTACAAAAACCACATCAAGGTAAACGATCCCTTTATTTTTTGTTTTCATTAATGTAGAGTGCCATAGTTTTTATAATAATTTTTCATTTATAGCTGAATAGAAAAGAAGATTATGAATTATATGGTTTCTTATGTTCCCTTGAAAGTGATATTAATCATGTACAAGGGTGAAAATCAATAAGCAAAGAAGCAAACATAAAAGAAAAGAAGCAAATAGTAAAAAAAGTATTAATCACAAAGATGTAACATTGGGGTCTTGTTTATGTGCGTTATTATAGGCTGTACTTACAAGACGTAATAGCCTGAGTGGAGTTGCTTACAAAGACGACCCAACTATAATGGCTTGGGAACTTATGAACGAGGTTAGGTGCCCTTCCGATCAATCAGGAAAGACGGTTCAGGTAAACCATTGCATGCGCCCTTCCGTTATGCTTAGGCATACATCGTTTTCTCTGCTGCATTTATGTTTGCTCAATTATTAAAAACGCATAATTCCGTTTTACACCTCTATTTATTAATTGCATAATTCCGTTTTACGGCTCTATTAAATACATAAGGTCCTTGCAAATTAATTGCATTTAAACAGAGTCTTTTTTTTTTAATGGTAATTATTATAATTTCACTTCGTATTTTTCATGGGTTGAGTCATTGACAATTTTTGAACAATAATAAATGTGTATCACTTGAAAATTCGTAATTTTATTTGTGCATTTACTTGGAGAGATGTAATTTTATTTATAACTAATTAATATTTATCGCTCATGAACTAGCTTTAACCATTTTTAAAAAAAATTGGATCTCTGTCATAAAAATTTTACCTTTTACAGGCCTGGATTACTGAGATGGCATCTTACGTGAAATCCATAGATGGAAACCACTTGCTGGAAGCAGGTCTTGAAGGTTTCTACGGACAGTCAAAGCCAGAGTCTAACCCAAACTTCAATGTAGGAACCGATTTCATTGCAAACAACCAAATCCCAGGCATCGATTTCGCCACAGTGCACTCCTACCCCGATCAATGGTTTGACTTTTTATTTCAACTCCTTATTCTTCACAGAATCAGAATGATGAATTTAAATAATCTAAAAGCTGTGCATTTTAATAAAGTAAAATAATATAAGTAATACTAGTAGTTTTTTTTTTTTTTTTTTTATTGAAAAGTTTTGGTTGATTAAAGCTGAATTTGTTGTGAGCAGGCTATCAAGTTCAGGTTATGAAGACCAAATTTCATTCTTAGAACGGTGGCTGAACGAGCACATTCAAGATGCACAGAACACTCTTCACAAGCCACTTCTCTTTGCCGAGTTTGGTATTTCCACAAAAACTTTTGGTGGCAGCTCAACACCAAGGGATCGGTTATTCAACACAGTGTATTCAGCAATATACTCATCCGCAAGTAGTGGCGGTGCTGCTGTTGGTGGCTTATTTTGGCAGCTTCTAGCTCAAGGAATGGATTCTTTTCGAGACGGTTACGAGGTTGTCTTAGGTGAGAGCCCCTCAACGGCCACTTTGATCGCTCAAGAGTCTCAAAAACTAAACCGAATTCGCAAGATGTACGCCAGACTCAGAAACATTGAGAAGTGGAATCGAGCTATGGAAATTAGAGGTGGAAACTAAACATAAGTCTTAACTACCACGATATATATAAAATATATAGAGAGAGAGTTGGTAACTCTGTAACTTATTTGTGTGAGGATTGAACTTCAGAATGAAGTGTTTCAATAATCGTAGAGGGAAAAATAGTCTATTTCCATTAAAATATTACACGTGAAGTATCCTACAAATGCTAGCCATAACTATTATTTATTGAGATATATGGAAAGTAACTTTGTATTGTACAAGCAAGCGAGTGAAACTACTTTTGTCTAAACTATATTATGGAGAGGCCTGCTGGATATTTTGAAGTGCTTCATATGACTGTTCCATCTTTAATTGTTGCATTTTTCAGTATAACCGTGATGCCCGACCTAATGTAGAATCCTTCCTTGGACTTGTCTGCTTCTTGAACACCCTGAGAAATCAATATATTTAAATCAGCATAAAAGTATATAATAATAAATGCGTCAAAGTCTTTTGCACAAGTTTCTGAAAGCAAGATTTTGAGACATCACTTACATCGGTGTTTGCTATGATCACATTTCTTCCTATCTTGGCATTCTTGTCGATTATACAATTCCTTAAAAAAGTCAGGTTATGAAATTAGAAGAAATCAGAAATGGAGGGTATCTTTTATTTTTGATATTACGACATGTAAATTGGCATGCATGGTTTGGATCTTCCAGAATCCAGAGACGAGGAAATTCTTTATGAATTCAAAATGTTGGATTGAGACACAACCAATCGCACCTGATTTTGGTATTTTCCCCAACACCAATTGGAACCTTTCCTTCTGCCAGCAGAGATGCAATTTCAGACTCAGTTTGATAGTAGTCAGCACCCATCATCATGGTATCCTGGATAGCAAAGTCCATAAAGGCATCAAACATTTATCATTGTTGCTCCAAAATGGAACATAAAAAAAGGTGTCAACTCAAGGGGGTGGAATTATGTAAGGGAGGCAATATAGATGTAATCTTGATATAAAATGGTTTTTGAGTTGAAAGAGCACCCTGATCTTTTCTGTCCTATGAACTCTACTATTTTCTGAGCAGTAAAATTTAATTCCTACAACTTGGTGTGCAAATGCAGTTTCCCTCTTCCCCCAACAACTTTTGGTAGTACAGATTATTGTCGCCAGTCAAGTAGAACACAAATTTCACAAGGGTCATCATATAAACTCCCCAAAAGAAACAATAATAGGGGATCATTACAGAAAAGTACCAAATGTTTACCTGAAACTCCACACCAGACTCTAAACGTGAGCGTACTCCCACAATAGAATGCTGAACACTACACTCCCTCAAGAAGCAACCATGAGAAATAATTGCATCCACAATCTATGAAACCAACCCATCATGCATATAGTAACATCAACAACAGAAACTAATCAACACTCATGATCAGCACAAATTCCAATTCTATAAAGCAACTTAGTGAAAGCTTACTGTCATACCTTGCATTTTTCTACTTTAGTGGGTGGAAGGAATCTTGGGGAAGTGAAGAAAGGTGTCTTTGGATCATAGAATTCAAATTTGGGAGGCTGCAATTAATACCGCAAGTCATTATGGGTTACTACATTTTTTATGAATGAAAACATATTCCATAGTAAAATCACTTTTTTCTCAATAGTATTATCAAGTCCGTTATTATCAGCAATAACACTAAAGAATAAACAATGATGGCTTCTAAATTGTGAAAGGTGCCCAAGTTCTGCAGCAATATGTGATACCTTTTTCTCATCAGTACAGATTTTTAATTGTTCTAAAATTAAAATATGACCACTTTCATTTCTGGTGTGTGGGTTTATAATTGCCCATCCACTGGCTTGCAGTTGAACTTCTTACCATGCAAAACCATCCAAATTGGCTGAATACCAAAAATAGTTACCTAGACTATCTGTTAGAAATATGAACCAAAATTAAAAGAAGGCTATACACATTTGGTTTCAATTTAGTCTCCAAAGTGAAACTTTTTAAACTTAGGAGATCAAAATGAAAAAAAGAAAAAAGATTAATAACCAAAAGTGTATTTTAGCATTAAAAGAAATTATGGGATAGTTAAACAAACCTGTTCTGTTAGGGCGAGGTTTGCATCAAAGAAGGACTTTATAGTTCCAATATCTTCCCAGTAGTCATTGAACAAATATGCCTGACAATGCAAATAGGAGAAATATTGGGTCAGTTACTGCTAAACTAAGATTTATTTTTATTAGCATTCAAAGATATTTGAAAAGGACATCAAGGAGAAAATTCCCTCTCACCTGGACATTGTGCTCGCTCACAGCAGATGGTATAATTTCAGATCCAAAGTCATTGCATGAAGAGCAATTCCATCTTAATAGTTGCAACAGGGTTTCAGTTCTGAACACGTAGACACCCATGGATGCAATATAAGGATTTTTGTCTGCTTCTTGTGGTGATAGCCCTAGAAGAGTGGTGTCAACACGCTGCAGTTATTGGCAATGCATTAGTGAGACAACAACTAGATTAAACTGCCAATTATTCAGGTACAAGGGATGTAATTCAGACTTCAGACTCGAGATACTATCAACAACATACCATTGCCTTTAGATCTGATCCCTTAGGTTTTTCTGAAAACTGTATAATGCGTCCTGTGTTATCAATTTTCATCAGTCCATAGTCTGATGCCCGGCTGCAAGACAACTAAAACTGATCAACTCCAAATACAGTTCAAGATATAACCAAAAAAAAATGATGGTTAGTGAAAGTTTCATCTCATGCAAATGAGGTGACGTGTCTTTATTGTACAAAATCAATGAAACCAAATCATGCAGATTTTTAATGTAGACATACCTGTCATCCATGGGTACACATGAAACTGTGATATCAGCATTTGTGTCAACATGTCTCTGCAATGATCAAACCCATCAAAATCAACATTAGTTTCAGCAAACTAAAAACGTGACTGGTTGTAATGTTAGAAGAAAAGCTATATCAATTGTACCTGCACAAAATCCATATAGTCCATCCTGTAAAGATGATCCCCAGAAAGTATCAATATATGCTCAACATTCTTGTTCTTGGCATCCTGCAAGGTGGTACATACCCACATTCACCACTCTATATATCAAACCAGTATTTTCAGCAAAAACACATCATACATATGTTTTACCTCAAAAACCCATATAAATTGCCTCACAGCATCAGCTGTCCCTTGGAACCATTTTTTCCCTGTCTCTCCAGGTGTTTGAGTTGCAGCCAAGACCTGTTCACGTTTAAATTACAATTCAATTCTTGACAAAACCTTTTAGCCAAAAACACTTTCCAGAAGAAAATAAGGGTCTGTTTGATTCTCTTCTCACTTTTTGTTTTTAAAAACTGTTTTCTTAAACAATTTCATACTACTCAGCAATCAATTTCTCATAAAAAAATATTTTGAAAATTATTTCCAAAACAAGTATTTTAAAAAACAAAAAATAGAAACAACTAGGCGATGTTTTCTCATCATGTTCAACCTCTCCGTCAATTCCATACCCTATGGGTGTGTTTGGAAACTAGTTAAGTTGAATTTAACTGGAGTTGGAAAAAAAAAAGTTCCACTCAAACTTTTACTTTTTTTGCACCTGAACGAGTGTTTTTACGTTGAACATGATCTTAAACCGGTATACAAATAAACACTATGTGTCTTGCACTACCCTCCACTAACTATCTAAGCAACTTTAATTAGTTACATTTTAAAAACTAAACAGTTTTTGAAAATGAAAATCAAAACACACCCTAAATCTCCCTTCCTTTCAAACATTATCGCAACTCACCTCCACAAACCCGTCTCCAAAAGTCAAGCCATTTCCAAAGCTGTATGCGCGGGACAAGTGGCGGTTGAGGGAGAAAGAGTTGAACTGCGTCAAAATGAATATTTTTCTGAGGCCACTATTGATGCAATTGCTCATGGGGATATCAATGAGTCTATAACACCCTCCTATTGGAACCTGAGAATTTCATTCAAACACACAATTTTTGCATGAAGTACTTCAATTAGTAGTAACCAGCAAACAAACATTCAAACTCAAAATGACATATACCGCGGGCTTGGCTCTTCTACTAGTAAGGGGAAAGAGACGAGTCCCTGCACCTCCACCCAATATGATGGAAGCCACACTCTTCGGGTCCACTTTGGGGGTCTCAAAAGTGGGTACCCCCTGAAATGCCTAAAAGGAAAGCACTTTTAAGCATTGAAACTAACTGAATGCTTAAGATCAGACACAGCAAAAAGAATTAAAATTTTCTTTCAATATATGATGTGTTGCATTTTGTAATTTACCATGGAATCTTCGTTGATGTCTGATGTGAGAACAGCATGAGCGGTTCCAGTTCCATGCTTGGAGTTTCTAAGATTCCTATTGGTTCGTGTAGTCTTGCACGATTGAGCACTCAAAAACCTTGTATTCTCACCCCAAAACCCACTGATTCTTCTGTTTCTTCCAATTCCCTGACTAACATTAGCTAGGTGGCCACTCAGGGTTGCATAAGTTGAATCCATTGGTGAACAACGAAATTAGAAACCTTTATTGGATTTGTCACCCTTCCCAATGGAATCGGGACTAATGAGTCTTTGTATGAGTAAAAGAGCTAAACCGGTTTCATAAAATACCAAACTTTTCAGACAATTTGCACCATAAGTTGAGGAATCATAACCGGGAAGATTCAGTGAAAAGGGCCCCAAAAATTTCAGATTTTTGAGTGAACCCACTTTTGAAATTGGAAAGTTGGTTGAAGGTGGGACCTTGGAAGGTGGAAACTAGAAAGAAATGTGGTAATGGAGAAGATGCATAGTGATTGAGAGGAGAATGAGTTGAACTTGAAAGACTTGCATTGCATTGGCAAATGGGAAGGGACACTAAGGTGAGGGACTCACGAGAAACCTGCCAAGTCTTTCTGTCACTGACTCAGCAACGCCCACAAGTTTCTATGACTCACTCCTAACTCCTAACATTCACACTTCCTACTTCCTACTAAACTACAACTGTTACCTTCAATGGGTGTTTATTCATTTATTACTACGTACTCTATTAAATTAAGTGACGTTTTTAACCCCTAATGTTATTTTTTTATATGGTGCTTTAGATTCACGGATATTTCTATTAATTTAATTTTATTCATGTGTTAATTGTTTGTTGATAAATCGTTTTTTTTTAACTAAGAAAAGCTTTTAATAATAAACTTTTAAGTTGCTTTCATTAATTGGAGAGGAGTGGAGGTTATAATTAAACCAATATCTCAATCTTATTATTAAGCCAAATTGACAATTTTTTATTTTAAATTTTAAATATATATATATATATTAGTTAATTTTATCTTATATTTATGAGTTTCATAATTTTTACTCTAAAATCTCAAAATAATTAAAATTATGTTATGGTATTCAATCTATGTATTAATTAATGGTGGATCTACATTACAAGATACCTTTCATTTTAATTAAGTTATTAATGTGTATTTAAAAATATTATATTTTGTATTTCCTAATTTTATATAATAACTTATTGAAGATTGTTTTTGTTATTTATCTTTTATTATATATATATATATATATATATATGATAATAATAATCATTAATTTAATATTTTTTTGAAAAAATTATCTCACTAACATAAAAATATTGAATTCGTCACTAACATTAATAGCATTGATCTTTGTTTTAAATTGTTGCCTTGATAAATATACTACAACTCTCAAATTTCAACAACTAATATGAGCATTGTATAATATATAAGCTTCCGGAAATATTTTCGTGAAGGTATGGTATACCTTTTCCTTTCTCACTTGAATTTTCATGAAACTTTTTTTCTTATATTAATGAGAGAAAAAACGCTGAATTAAGTAAATGAGAAATGTGAACTTTGCTTCTTAAGATCATTTTACGAAGAAATTAAACTAAATAAAAAGAACTTCTAGAACTTACTGTTACATTCTTATTAAACCTAACTTTAATACTTTGTGTTGGTTAAATTTATTTATATTATTAATTTTTTTTCCTGCTACATTTACTCAATTAGTTAAAAACTAATTTTATTTTACAGTACAACTGATTTATTAAAATATAATTTTTATACTCTACTAAATTGTGTTAAATCATTTGATTTCATCAACAGGAACGTAATTTGAAGGTTGATAGATTACCGTGGAAAGCTATCAGCTATTTAAAAGTCTTTATATAGAAAAAGAAGTTTGAATTATGAATTAAAAAGTTGGATTTTCAGTCAATATAGCGTATGATGCTGTGTTTGATATGAGGAACAAATGTTGAGTTCCATGAAGAAGTAAGAAATGAAATGGTTTTATTATTTGATTATTTGAAAAAAGAAAGAGAATGCGTATTGTGCAAGATGTGGTGTGTGACGTTCCGTGCGACCGTGAGAGATCTTAATTCTTAAAGGAGGTGATGGCTTTTCTATAATGAAACCAAAACAAAGACCTTCTTCCTATTTTGATTGCGATAATGACGCACCGAGTATTCAGTCCTAGGAAAAATAATACTAAAAATCTAACCATTTCTACTTTTTAAAGTTCAAACAAACAAATGATGAACATCATGTGCACTCTGGTTGTCCCTGTTGCTGTTATCACAATCAATAGTACTATCAAATTCAAATGTCTCAACCACACCCTCAGATGAGTTGAACATATCACATTTCTTCTGCATAATGTGTCAACCAAAGACCCACTTTGGTTTTCTTTGTCTCCTATCTTCATTCTTTTTCCTTTTATTTTATAAAAATAATAATAATAATAATTTAAGAGACAAGGATGATGTTTCAGCCCAATATATGAAATGTTTTTAAGCTCAAAGAGTACTTAACAAAATACCTTCATTTTATCCTTAGTACAAACAATTCAATATTTATGTTATTTAATTAAAGATCAAGACTGATCCATTCAGTAGCAACTAATTAAGAAGATTCTAATGTAAGTCTCATTGTTTGATATTGTCATGATTATGATTATTAAAATTCATATAAAAATGCAAAAAGGTCCACACTTTCATTTTGGTTTACAGATATTTTTAATTACATAATGAAACCATTTGAAATTTCATTTTGGTGATGTTATTCAACTTTAAATACATCGTTACAACATTAATTTTTTTATTTATCTATTTATCCTCCAATGATTTCATGTAATCTATTAGTGTTCCTGTATCAGGGGACACACTTCAATTATCTTCGTAGTTGTGGGTCGGGTCTCGCGTCTCGGTCTTCTCGTTCCAGTCCGGGCTATCCGAAATGAGGGGGGTGCCTACAAAGACACTCTGACGCTCAAGTTAGTGTTCGGCGTAATAAATGCGGTAGTTCAGAATTAAATACATACCTCGTTGGGGTCCTATTTATAGGTCTTCTTATTGGGCCGTAATTAGGGATTGGGCCCCGGAAAATTAGGGGGGTTAATCTGATTTATGTTAATTAAACTCCCCGTAATCGTCTTGCCGCAGGTATGGGGTTTAAGCCGAGCGCGCCGAGCGTATCATTAGGTCCTCGAGTACTCAGAGATCTCGGGTATTGGTCCTTAGTGTTCGGTTCGTATCGAGAGTGGTCGGCGAGTTCGGTTTTTGGGCTCGGGTATTCGGCCTGGTCGGCCACCATACGGTATACAACCCCCGCAGCGTCGAGGATGTGGAAGACGAAGACGTTCTTGAGTGTCTGGTATCGCGTTATCGACGACTGTGGCCGACCATGTGATCCTTATTGAGGGGAAAACGAAAACCCCTGCCGATGTCGAGGGTTTAAGTGCGAAAACCAAGCCGAGACCTTCGACATGTGAAGTCGTGCCGTGGTCTCGGTTGGACGAGACCTAGGCCGAGACCTTGGTTGAATGTGGTTGGTGTCGAGGTCTCAAGGTAGAAATTTAAGCCGAGACCTTCGACATGTGAAGTCGTGCCGTGGTCTCGGTTGGACGAGTCCTAGGCGAGACCTCGGTTTAATGAGGTGGGTGTCGAGGTCTCAAGGTAGAAATTTAAGCCGAGACCTTCGACATGTGAAGTCGTGCCGTGGTCTCGGTTGGACGAGTCCTAGGCGAGACCTCGGTTTAATGAGGTGGGTGTCGAGGTCTCAAGGTAGAAATTTAAGCCGAGACCTTCGACATGTGAAGTCGTGCCGTGGTCTCGGTTGGACGAGTCCTAGGCGAGACCTCGGTTTAATGAGGTGGGTGTCGAGGTCTCAAGGTAGAAATTTAAGCCGAGACCTTCGACATGTGAAGTCGTGCCGTGGTCTCGGTTGGACGAGTCCTAGGCGAGACCTCGGTTTAATGAGGTGGGTGTCGAGGTCTCAAGGTAGAAATTTAAGCCGAGACCTTCGACATGTGAAGTCGTGCCGTGGTCTCGGTTGGACGAGTCCTAGGCGAGACCTCGGTTTAATGAGGTGGGTGTCGAGGTCTCAAGGTAGAAATTTAAGCCGAGACCTTCGACATGTGAAGTCGTGCCGTGGTCTCGGTTGGACGAGTCCTAGGCGAGACCTCGGTTTAATGAGGTGGGTGTCGAGGTCTCAAGGTAGAAATTTAAGCCGAGACCTTCGACATGTGAAGTCGTGCCGTGGTCTCGGTTGGACGAGTCCTAGGCGAGACCTCGGTTTAATGAGGTGGGTGTCGAGGTCTCAAGGTAGAAATTTAAGCCGAGACCTTCGACATGTGAAGTCGTGCCGTGGTCTCGGTTGGACGAGTCCTAGGCGAGACCTCGGTTTAATGAGGTGGGTGTCGAGGTCTCAAGGTAGAAATTTAAGCCGAGACCTTCGACATGTGAAGTCGTGCCGTGGTCTCGGTTGGACGAGTCCTAGGCGAGACCTCGGTTTAATGAGGTGGGTGTCGAGGTCTCAAGGTAGAAATTTAAGCCGAGACCTTCGACATGTGAAGTCGTGCCGTGGTCTCGGTTGGACGAGTCCTAGGCGAGACCTCGGTTTAATGAGGTGGGTGTCGAGGTCTCAAGGTAGAAATTTAAGCCGAGACCTTCGACATGTGAAGTCGTGCCGTGGTCTCGGTTGGACGAGTCCTAGGCGAGACCTCGGTTTAATGAGGTGGGTGTCGAGGTCTCAAGGTAGAAATTTAAGCCGAGACCTTCGACATGTGAAGTCGTGCCGTGGTCTCGGTTGGACGAGTCCTAGGCGAGACCTCGGTTTAATGAGGTGGGTGTCGAGGTCTCAAGGTAGAAATTTAAGCCGAGACCTTCGACATGTGAAGTCGTGCCGTGGTCTCGGTTGGACGAGTCCTAGGCGAGACCTCGGTTTAATGAGGTGGGTGTCGAGGTCTCAAGGTAGAAATTTAAGCCGAGACCTTCGACATGTGAAGTCGTGCCGTGGTCTCGGTTGGACGAGTCCTAGGCGAGACCTCGGTTTAATGAGGTGGGTGTCGAGGTCTCAAGGTAGAAATTTAAGCCGAGACCTTCGACATGTGAAGTCGTGCCGTGGTCTCGGTTGGACGAGTCCTAGGCGAGACCTCGGTTTAATGAGGTGGGTGTCGAGGTCTCAAGGTAGAAATTTAAGCCGAGACCTTCGACATGTGAAGTCGTGCCGTGGTCTCGGTTGGACGAGTCCTAGGCGAGACCTCGGTTTAATGAGGTGGGTGTCGAGGTCTCAAGGTAGAAATTTAAGCCGAGACCTTCGACATGTGAAGTCGTGCCGTGGTCTCGGTTGGACGAGTCCTAGGCGAGACCTCGGTTTAATGAGGTGGGTGTCGAGGTCTCAAGGTAGAAATTTAAGCCGAGACCTTCGACATGTGAAGTCGTGCCGTGGTCTCGGTTGGACGAGTCCTAGGCGAGACCTCGGTTTAATGAGGTGGGTGTCGAGGTCTCAAGGTAGAAATTTAAGCCGAGACCTTCGACATGTGAAGTCGTGCCGTGGTCTCGGTTGGACGAGTCCTAGGCGAGACCTCGGGTGAATGAGGTTGGTGTCGAGGTCTCAAGGTAGAAATTTAAGCCGAGGCCTTCGACATGTGAGGTCGTGCCGTGGTCTCGGGTGGACGA